GATGGGACCCAGTGCCTTGCTACAAGCAGCAAAGGGGTAACCCATCCTGATACTCAAGGCCTGCAAATAACCCGATTCCGAAACCAGTGTACAGAATCAACGGTGGGACACGGTGCCTTCCCGCAAGCGGTAAAGCGGTAACCTATTGGGATACTCAAGGCCAGCAAATAGTCCAATGCTGGGTCTCGTACCTGTGACGTCTGATAGATCTCGAGCCGCATCCGCTTGGCTGCTTTCCGTGTCTCACTTTCACAAGCAGCTGCCAGGATGTTCTCGGCCATGGCTGAGGTCAGGTGAGGAGGGGTCGGCCTAGTCTGAAGAAAAAGAACATTTTCAGGAAAACTGGGACAAATGAATGCGACTCAATGTATGGCTTTACAGGTGAAAAAAAAAAAGGTAACGCTATCGATCAAGACCAAGAAAGCAGAAAGGGGGAAGAAAAATTGGAAGATCTAAAGCAGCGCTCTTCAATTTTGGAAATTTTAAGATACCTGGAGCAAGTCCTCCTCCTCTTTTCAACCTCCCTAACCTCCCGCTCCCTTCTAGCACTGATGATGTTACCTAGCTGGGTCATGAAATGTCTGCAAGAAAACAGCCAAGCTCAGACTGCACCAAGGACTGCATAATTCTCCTCCTCCTCCTCCTCCTCCTCCTCTTCCTCCTCTCCATAAATACTACTCCCTCTAGCACTGATGATGTTCCCTACTTGGGTAATGAAAGGTCTACAAGAAAACAACCAAGCTCAGAGTTACCGCAGTTCTCCTCCTCCTCCCCCGTCCCCTCTGCTCCCCTTCTCATCCTCTTCCCCTCCCCCCGCCTCAAAACCCCACTTTGGGATCAATCCATCAATCAAATAGAGCAAATGAATAAATAAACTTAAGCTTTCCGGCGGGGCCTTTTTCCCCCAATGCCGGAAGGTCCCTTCCCTGTGAGGGGAGTGAGTGTGGAAAGGCCCTTTAATGGTGGGGTAGAGTCTCCATTCCCCAAATTCTAGACCCCAGGGCCTACAGTGGAAAGATATGGCAGGCACCAAAATGGATATCAAGCCCCTTCCCCAAATCCAACAGAATCAAGTTAATGCCACCACCAAATCTCAGCCACTGCTCTAGGTCTGCCGTGGGCAACTCTGGCCACTTTAACACCCGTAGACTTCAATTCCCAGAATTCCTGAGGCAGCCATGCTGTCTATGGCCCCTTTATAACTTGTGGACATCAATTCCCAGAATTCCCAGTATGGCTGCCTCAAGAATTCTGGGAGTTGAAGTCCACAAGTCCTGAAGAGGCCATAAGCAGCATGGCTGCCTCAGGAATTCTGGGAGTTGAAGTCCATAAGACATAAGGGGGCCATAGCCAGCATGGCTGCCTCAAGAATTCTGGGAGTTGAAGTCCACAAGTCATAAAGGGGCCATAGCCAGCATGGCTGCCTCAGGAATTCTGGGAGTTGAAGTCC